CAGCGGGAAAGCCTACCCACCCAAACGCCCCACAGACCCTGCTGCTCAGGGCTTTCTTCCCTACTCTAGGGCCTGACATTCGTCCTCACTGGATTCAAAGACCGAGCACCAGCCTGGGCTCCAAAATTGCATACGTCCAGAGATTTCTCCCACACCAAAGGGGCAACATCAAAGAGCTGTACTCGTGCTACACCAAGCCAGGCTACCCTACTGAAAGCCCCACGGACCCTGGGGCTTAGGGTTTTCTTCCCTACTCAAGGGCCTGACATTGGTGCTCGCTGGTGCCAGACCCTGAGCCCTAGCCCAGGCTCCAAATTTGCATGTGTCTATTGATTTCAACCACACCAAAGGGGGCACAGGCAAAAGCAGTAATTCTAAAGGGGGCCAGGATACCCTGAAAAGCCCCACAGACCCTGGGGCTCAGGGCTTTCTTTCCTACTCTGGGGCCCGACGTTTGCACTCACTTTAGCTGAAGCCCGACCTCCAGCTTGGCTCCAAAATTGAAAATGTCCAGGGATTTCTCTCACACCAAAGGGACCACAGCCAAAAGATCTACACATGCTACAGGGGTCCAGACTACCTTAGAAAAGCCCCACAGAGCCTGGGGCTCAGGGCTTTCTTCCCAACTCAAGGCCTTGATAGTGGTGCTCCCTGGCACCAGACCCTGAGCCCTAGCCCGGGCTCCAAAATTACAAACATCTAGGGATTTCTCCCACACCAAAGGGGCCAAAGCCAAAAGCTGTACCCATGCTACACCAAGCAAGGCTACCCTACCAAAAGCCCCAAAGACCCTGGGGCTCATGGTTTTCTTCCCTACTCAATGGCCCAACGTTGGTGCTCATGGCGCCAGAGCCCAAACCCCAGCCTGAGCTTGAAAATTGCAAACGTCCAGGGATTTCTCCCACACTAAAGGGGCCACAGCCAAAAGCTCTACAAGTGCTAAAGGGGGCCAGGATGCCCTAGAAAAGCCCCACAGACTCTGGGGCTCAGAGCTTTCTTCCCAACTGAAGGCCCCGACTGTGGCACTCACTGGCACCAAACACTGAGTACCAGGCGGGGTTCCAAAATTGCAAATGTCCAGGGATTTCTCCCAAACCAAAGGGGCTACAGCCAAAAGCTGTAATTGTGCCTCAGTGGTCAATGCTAGCCTATAAAAAGCCCCACAGACACTGGGGCTCAGAGCTTTCTTCCCTACTCAAGGGCCCAATATTGGCGCTCACTGGCACCAGACACTGAGCCCTAGCCCACGCTCCAATTTTGCAAGCATCCATAGATTTCTCCCACACCAAAGGGGCCACAGCCAAAACCTGTACTCTTGCCACACCTGGCCCGCCTACCCTACCAAAAGCCCCACACACCCTGGGGCTCAGGGCTTTCTTCTCTACTCAAGTGCCTGACCTTGGCAGTCACTTGCGCCAGAGCCTCGGGCCTAGCCCTGGCTCCAAAACTGCAAATGTCCAGGGATTTTTCACACACCAAAGGGGCCACAGCCAAAAGCTGTACTTGTGCCTATGCAGGCGGTGCTAGCTTACAAAAAGCCCCATAAAGCCTTGGCCTCAGGGCTTTTTTCTCTACTCAAGGGCTCAACGTTGGCCTTCACTGGCACCAGACCTTGAGCCCTAGCCCAACCTCCAAAATTGCAAATGTCCAGGGATTTCTCCCACATCAAAAATCTCACAGCCAAAACCTGTACCCTTGCCACACTGGGCCACACTACCCTACAAAAATCCCCACAGACCTTGGCGCTCAGAGCTTTCTTCCCTACTCTAGAGCCTGACGTTGGCGCTCACTGGCACCAGAGCCTCAGGCCCAGCCCGGGCTCCAGAATGCAAACATCCAGGGGTTT